AGGCCAGCGCTGGCCCATGGCTGGGACGGGCTCTGAGGCCGCTCCTGTCCCAGCAGCAGCGCGGCCGGCCGCAGGGTCTGGTGCAAACACATGGGGAGGTCCCTTGTGTGCGAGGAGCTGCCGGGGCAGCAGCAGGCGCTGCCTGGGAGGCCAGGCRTGTCCCAGCAGCGGGYAGRGACAAGGAGGCCATTGCGGGGACAGTGCGGGGAGGTCCCTTCTCTCTGCAGGGCTGGCTMTGTACTGGCACATGGGCGTTGGCTGGTGAGGTCACTGTTGCTGCAGCCCCYGATTGGCCAGGCCAGGCAGATGGTTGTGACATCATCAGCACCTCCCTGGCCAGGGTGGTTCTTCCAAGGAACCTGGTGTCCCTTCAGCCCGTGACAGCAGCAGCCCACACTGGCTTGTGTGCCTGTGAGGTCCCCGCTGTCCCAGGAGCTGCTGGGCCAGCAGGAGGCTGACGTTGGAGTGCTGGTGCTGAGGTCACTGCTGCCAGAGCTGCTGATGGGCCAGCAGCAGCGTCAAGGATGGGAGGGTTTGCTGAGGATGCCCAGTGGAGGGACTGACACCTGCGGAGCTCTGCAGTCATAGAGAAAATCAGCTCATTAATCAGGAGGAGGGAGATCATGGAATCATAGTATCACAGAATGATTGAGTTTGGAAGGGATCCCTAGAGGTCATCCAGTTCAACCATACAGATCAAACAGGAACATCTAGAGCACATGGTACAAGGTCACATCAAGCCAGGTTTAGAAGATCTCCAGAGAAGGAGAATCCAAAAGCTGTCTGGGCAGCCTGGTCTATGTCTCTGTCATCCTTACAGTGAGGAAGTTCTTGCTCATATGGAGATGGAACTTCCTGTGTTTTTATTTATACTCCTTACCCCATTTTTTGTCTCTTGCCACCACTAAGAAGTCTTTACATTATCCCCTCAGGTTATTGTACATATTGATCAGACCTCCTCTCAATCTTCTCTTCTGCAGGCTAAATAAGCCCAGCTCCCTTAGTCTTTCCTAATATGATAGATGCACCACTCCATTAATCATCTTCGTTGCTCTATTCTGGACTCTTCCTAGATGTTCCAGGTCCTCCTTGCATTGGGGAGCCAAATCTGCATGCAATACTCCAGATGTGGCCTCACCAGAGCTGAGTAGAGTACCAGGATCCCCTCCCTCAACCTACTGCCCACACTACTCCTTATGCAGGCAGGGATCCCATTGGCCTTGTTGGCCACTAGGGCACATTGATGCCTCAGGGTCACCTTGTTGTCAACCAGGATTCCCAGATCCCTCTCTGTGGAGCTGCTCTCCAGCAGGTCAATCCGTAATCTGTACTGGTGCTGTAAGTGCAGATTGGTTCAGTAAGTACAGAAAGCAGATTTCCACTAAGGGAGCAAACTCTTCAGTGCCTGGGACCTGGAAGAAGCAGCGGTGGCCATGCAGGAATGACACATAAGCATTTGCTGTGTGAGATGACACTGTGGTACCACTGGGCTTGTGAAATATTTCTTGAACCAATCTGCAGGAAGGACAATTTACCCAGTGATGACGTCCCTGGTCTTGGATAGCCTATAATTCTATAATGTCCTGAGACCACCATTAGTCTCCCTCTTGATATCCCTGGGTTAGGAATGTAGACATTAAGGAAGAGGAGAGCTAGAAGGGCTTCCTGAGTTTAGAGAGCAGAGCAGAGCTCTTGGTATGACATGCCTCTCCCCTTTATGAAGCATGCACAGCTGTAGGGGGGATGGACTTGGCTTAAAGGCAGTGGGGGGATGCAGTTGTTTGGGCACTGATAGGAACCCCCAGATGGCCTGAGCCTGTTACCCAGAAGTGACTGTAAAGGGACATGGTTTCCCATAGATCCCACGTTGTGTGTCCTGGAGGAGACATTTCGTTATGCTGGGCAATGCAGGCATCTGACTTGGCCCTGCAGCCTGTTTCTATGTCACTGAATCAGATAACTGCACTGAATTATATTAACTTTGTGCACTGTAAAGCAGGGTCTCTACTTTATACTGCAAGGTGCTTACGTAGTAGTGGAAGGCATCTGGCGACATTTGAGATGGCTGAGGACATTCCCCACCGATTATCTCGTGAAGATCCTTGAGGATTCAGGTCTCACATTTGCTCCATCAGAGCAAGCAAACAGCGCCATCTTTGTGGTATCTCCTCTGTCTCTTCAAGCAGGTGTTTGGTTGTTGTCCGCTTACTCACATCTTTCATCCCCAGTGATTACAAGGGGAGCTTAGAGAAGGAGCTCCCATGCACATGTCAGTGCTGTGCACACTTCAGCACAGGTGAGCAGCATCCCACCTTCTGTGTGTTTGTGGAGGTCACTGGAGGAATGTGAAAGCCATCCCAGAGCAGGGGCATTGAACGAATGTGGAATGTGGAATGCCCACACTGACTCATCTGAATCCGAGAGCTCCCTTTTCACCCCTTTCTGGTTGTCCTGCCTAGGAGGGGCTTCCTAAGTAGGGCCTTCCAGAGTGGGAAATTTCTAACTTGCAGAGATAGTCATCCTCTGATGAAATAGACTGCAGTTTTGGAATCCTCTTTCTCTACTCACTAGGACAGAACCACAGGTGTGATTCTTTCAGTTGTTTCATGCCCATTTCCCAGGAGGAGGGAACAGAAGGGACAGGGCAATTGGTRAGTTCAGCTGGGCCTCTGCTCCTGAGCGGGGCCAGGCTCCTGGGACGGAGGCTGCTCGTGGCAACCTGTGAGCCCTGCCCAGAGACACTGTGTGCAGGAGCAGCTGCTGTGCCAAGAGCAGCAGGGCTGCGGGCACTGCSTGCTGCTGCGCACAGCAGAGGAGAGAAGGCAGCGAGAGGTGCAGGGCAGTGTGGAGCGGGAGCACAGAATTCTCGTGGTGGGAGGAATATTGCCAGCCCTCGGCATGGTGAGTCTCTGGCTGCAGGACCTGGCTACTGACTTTGATGGAAGGTGTGCTCAACCAAGCCCTGTGTTGGCCTGCCTTTGCCAGCCCAGGCAGAAGCACCAAACTGTTGCTGCTTGTTTCCCTCCCGAGCTGGACTGCCCTTGTTCCTGTTTTGGGGCTTTCTGGGGAGTTCATTTGCAGCTTGAGAGTCTGACCCAGGCCCTCGCTTCCTGCTGCAGAGGTGCCTCCCAATGGAGGGAGAGGACGAGGATCCCTTCTTGCCCTTGGGGCTCAAAGCAGCACAGTCTGTGGGTCAAGGGCTGATCATCTTTTCAGGAGATCTCATCTGTAAGACTCTTGGCCCTGCTGGACTCTGCTGCTAGGATGTGTATTGCCCTGCAGTGGGGCAGAGCTCTTTTGTAGGACATTTGTGATGACTGAACATGCCATGGAAAAGCCACAGAGGTGCCAGGGCAAGGGAGATGCTGCTGGGGATGGCTGTGGGTGAGCAGCCGAGCTAAAAACTCTGTGTCTCTGTAGAAGCTGAGTCCKGAATTATCTGTCCTTACCAGAACAACGATATGGGGTCCTTGTTCTGATCATCGGAGCCATGTACTGTTGCACTCTCTGCATCATTCTTGGGACATCAGAGCTGAGAAAGGTGAGTTTGGAGAGCTGCATATTGCAAGTGGATACCAAAGYCAGCACAGGCAGTGGGTGCTTAGTAGTGTGACATAGCTAGAGAGGTATTTGTTTTTGTGGCCACAATACCTCATAACTGACTGTGAAAACATTGAACTGCCTTTAAAATTTATAGCAGGACTGACTTCTCTGGAGTTAATGGGCATAACTTCCTGCTACTCATGGTAGACTCAGCCAGAATGAGCTSGAACTCCAGACAGGGAGCTGAACTAAGAAGGYATGTGTGTCCACATACGCAGAAGAGGATGTGAGAAAGGGAAAGGTGTCTCCTGACTTGTCACTCTCTTTTCTTGTTTCCACAGTCCCCAAATGCCTGGAGAGGTGAAAATATCCAACAGCAGCTCCTTCAATGAGTTCCTGCTCCTGGCATTTGCAAACAGGCAGGAGCTGCAGCTCTTGCACTTCTCCCTCTTCCTGGGCATCTACCTGGCTGCCCTCATGGGCAATGGCCTCATCATCACAGCCATAGCCTGCGACCACCGCCTCCACACCCCCATGTACTTCTTCCTTCTCAACCTCTCCATCCTTGACCTTGGCTCCATCTCCACCATTGTCCCCAAATCCATGGCCAACTCCCTCTGGRACACCAGGGCCATTTCCTTTTATTCATGTGCTGCCCAGGTCTTCCTGTTGKTCTTCTTCTCTGGAGGGGAGTTTTCCCTCCTCACAGTCATGGCCTATGACTACTTTGTGGCCATCTGCAGACCCCTGCACTATGGGAGCCTCCTGGGCAGCAGAGCTTGTGTCCAAATGGCAGCAGCTGCATGGGCTGGTGCCTTTCTCAATACTCTCCTGCACACTGAGAACACATTTTCCATTCCGCTGTGTGAAGGCAATGAGGTGGATCAGTTCTTCTGTGAGATCCCCCAGATCCTCAAGCTCTCCTGCTCACACTCCTACCTCAGGGAAGTTGGGCTTGTTGGAGTTAGTTCTTCTGTATTCCTTGGTTGTTTCATTTTCATTGTGGTGTCCTACCTGCAGATCTTCCGAGCTGTGCTGAGGATCCCCTCTGAACAGGGCCGCCACAAAGCCTTTTCCATGTGCCTCCCACACCTGGCCGTGGTCTCCATCTTTATCAGCACTGGCATGTTTGCCTACCTGAARSCACCCTCCATCTCCTCTCCAGTTCTGGATCTAGTGGTGGCTGTTCTGTATGTGGWGGKGCCTCCAGCAGTGAACCTTCTCATCTACAGCATGAGGAATAAGGAGATCAAGGATGCTCTGAGGAAAATGATTTCATGGACTTTTTTCAGCAGTGCTAACATTTCCATCTCTCTCCACAAATGACTCATTCTGTATCCCTTAACTGGACTGAGCATGGTTCCTTCTTGTTATTTTTATTATGACTTTTATTATTATTAATAATTGATACCATGTTGCTTCACATATACTTGAATTCATTCTGCTTTTACCAAGACTCTTGGTTCTTACCTGGTACCTTGAATTGTATTGAATGTTGTATTAGGATCAGACCCCTCAGTGGATCTCTGTAATAAGGTAAATTCTACACAGTAGATCTTTATTCCAAAGCTGGTGTCAAGAACGTGCCTAAGAAATTGCTCCTCAGAAGGGCCTGCTGAACACGCTTCTCCATGAGTTCCAGGACAAAACCCCRTAAGGGGACAATACTGTCTTCAGAGACCAAGATTTGCATTTGGGATTTCTCCAGAGTTGTTAGCTTTGTCTAACAACAACGACATAGTGAGGCCTTCCATCACTATGTCTATCAGTGCCAGAGCTCTCTTCCAACTCATTAAGGGGGGCTTTTCTCAATGCAGTTCTTGTGGCTTGGGCTCGTCTTCCAAAGCTGGAGCCAAGAATTTCCGGAAGGACTTTCTCCYTGAAACGTCATGTGGGTCTTTATGGGCTGAAGGCAATGATCTCATGGGGTGATGTGTTTATGAATGTGGGTTGGATTCATCTCTAACTTGAGGGTCCTCAGTGCTYGTGATCATGGTGAATGCTCAAGTAGAACCTGCCTGGGAGCATCTCCCTTATGACAGGGCTGCTGGCAGATTGCCACAGTTCGGCTCTTGCAAGGAAAGGGAGGGAGCTGCAAGAGCACTTCATGGCACCTTCCAAGTCAAACACTGCTCTGGATCTAGGGACACATTTCACCATAGCCTGAGATATGTGAAAGGCCCATGATGAGTCAGAGGGGTGGGACCCTCGAGGTACATGTGGCTGCAGCTCACACACTCATAGGCCAATGTCCTGTCCTTCTGAAGCTGCATGGACCCCCCCCAGGGCATCTTCAGGCCTGTCCCCTTCCCTGGGACACCCGACTCCCTCTCCAGAACAGGTGCTGGCAACACTGGGACCACGTCCACTGTCCACTGCCACAACAGGCCCAGGCACAACAGGGACAGGCTGTAACACCTGTGTTCTCACTGCTGGGAAGAGTGTGGGCACAGAAGGGGCAGTGGGTGGCACCACCAGGCCTGGCTCAAGTACCACCAATGGAGGTGATGTTCCTTGTGGGACAGGGGACTGAGACAGCTGGGATCGAGTTTGGCACCCCCAGGATAGGAGCTGGCATCTCTGGAACAGGGGCTGGCACTGCCAGGAGAGGTGCTGGCTGCAGTGGCACAGGGCCAGCTCCTTCAGGCCAGGCCTGGCACCGCCAGGGCCTCCTCACCAGGAATCTTTCAAGGCAGGAGCTCTGCTCTGTCTCAACTACCTTATGCAGCTGCCCGTGGAGCAGGAGCTTCGCAGTCTCCTTGAACGCAACCTGGGCAGCCTGGGGAGGAGCAAGGAGACAGGCGATGGCCAAACGGCCAGRCCAGGGCTCCCCCACGAGCCCTGCCCAAGGGGTCCCCACGTGGCCGCATGGTGCCCCAGTGCTGTGCCCTGTTCCTGGGCTGCCTCGGCGTGCGGGTCTCTGTGGTAGAAGAAGAGGAGCATCAGCTCCTGGCGTCACATCTGCTTCATCTGCTGCCTCTGGCCGCTGCCCATGCGGCCCAGCAGCTCTCCGAAGAGCCACATGGCCGTCCCCTGCACCACAACCAAGTCTTGATGGGGCAGCCCCACAACCTCAGCTTGGTGATAGTGGAACCCCAAGGGGCCCCAGTAGCTCCCTGCCACCGTGCTCACATTGGGGAAGAGGG